TAATTTTAGATCACACTGAACAGTGCTGTGTAAATGTAGTGCATAATTACATGTGGTTTCCCTTTTGTGTGTGAATGTGCTGTGTTTGGGAAATAGTAGACAGAGGAGGTTGGGCACTTTGTGTATCCCGAGAGCAGATACACGCAACACCAAGGAAAGCTTCCACACTTGCCAAGCCAGTTTGCCTCAGCCCTGATTTCGTGAGAGACCTTCCAGAATGAGAAGATAATGCAATATACCCAGTCAGCCCTTCTCTTGTCTATTCAGACATTAGAAAGGATTGGTAATTAGTGCCACTTTGTGTCTATTTTGATGTGGACACCGGGAAGTCAGATGAACAAATTTATTTGATAGAAACCACCAAACAGTGAGCAGTGGTAACAACTTTCAGTTTCTGCCAGCATGACTGGATTAGACCTGGCAAGAACAGAAATGAAAGGCTTTATTAATTGTCACTAGTCCCCTGAGTTATCCAGATCCCTCTATACTGTGGTTATATTTGATTCACTTAGGTTTTGGGCAACACTGTAAACAATATGCAAAGATAAAGTGGGTATAAATAGCAACAATATTAGAATCATCCCCTTACTTACACCCACATTGCTGAGGAGTATAAGGGGTTGATTCTGCTCCACTGAAGTCAATGGGAGTTTCACCACTGACTGATCTTAGTGGGAATAGGGCTAAATTTTAAATGACTGCACAAGGTGCAAAGCAGTGGAGGATCAGGCCCATTATGTTTGGAAGGGCTCCTATAAAGACAGAGATGCTAATGGGGCATCATTACCTCTTTGTATCTCAAAGGCTTGGGATCAATGTGCTGAAGCAGAGTTTCCCAAACCAGAAAGCTGAGCCATCCTTCAGGAAAATTAATCCAGTCATGCTCCTCCCTGTAGCCCCATGCTGTGTTGTGAAAGGTCTACCTCTTTTAATGGCATCAGCTTTTGTGCCCCACCAGCTAGTGCTTCATGCCTCTCTGCCCAACACATGTATCATAGAATCAGAAGATTAGGATTGGAAGAGACCTCAGGAGGTCATCTAGTCCAACCCCCTGCTCAAAGCAGGACCAACCCCAACAAAATCATCCCAGCCAGGGCTTTGTCAAGCTGGGACTTAAAAACCTCTAAGGATGGAGATTCCACCACCTCCCTAGGTAACCCATTCCAATGCTTCACTACCCTCCTAGTAAAACAGTGTTTCCTAATATCCAACCTAGATCTCCCCCACTGCAACTTGAGACCATTGCTTCTTGTTCTGTCATCTGCCACCACTGAGAACAGCCTAGCTCCATCCTCTTTGGATCCCCCTTCCAGGTAGTTGAAGGCTGCTAACAAATCCCCCCTCACCCTTCTCTCTTGCAGACTAAATAACCCCAATTCCCTCAGCCTCTCTTCGTAAGTCATGTGCCTCAGCCCCCTAATCATTTTCATTGCCCTCAGCTGGACTCTCTCCAATCTGTCCACATCCTTTCTGTAGAGGGGGACCCAAAACGGAATGCAGTACTCCAGATGTGGCCTCACCAGTGCCGAACAGAGGGGAATAATCACTTCCCTCGATCTGCTGGCAATGCTCCTACTAATGCAGCCCAATATGCTGTTAGCCTTCTTGGCAACAAGGGCACACTGTTGACTCATATCCAGCTTCTCATCCACTGTAATCCCCAGGTCCTTTTCTGCAGAACTGCTGCTTAGGCAGTCGGTCCCCAGCCTGTAGCAGTGCATGGGATTCTTCCATCCTAAGTGCAGGACTCTGCACTTGTCCTTGTTGAACCTCATAAGATTTCTTTTGGCCCAGTCCTCCAATTTGTCTAGGTCACTCTGGACCCTATGCCTACCCTCCAGCATACCCACCTCTCCCCCACATCTTAGTGTCATCTGTGAACTTGCTGAGGGTGTAATCCATCCCATCATCCAGATCATTAATAAAGATATTGAACAAAACCAGCCCCGACCGACCCCTGGGGCACTCCACTTGATACCAGCTGCCAACTAAACATTGAGCCATTGATCATTACCCGTTGAGCCCGACAATCTAGCCAGCTTTCTGTCCACCTTATACCCTTTCAGAAATACAGGTATAGGTCTTCATAATATGATATTTCATTTTCTTTTCTATCTCCTTTGACTAATATTGACTTTTAAAGAATTATCATTGGCACCTAAGGTAGCACCTATTAAAGTGAACGGGGTAGCAATTGCTGCACACTTTTTATCTGTCTTATGGATCCCATCATCTTATCTGAGCACCCCACCATCTTTAATGAATGTACCATACCATGTAAGGTATGGAAGTATTAACTCCATTTTACAGATGGATAACTGAGGCACAATGAGACTAAGTGACTTTCTGAACATCACACGTGAAGGCTGTAGTAGAGTAGGGACCTGAACTCCATTTCCCAAGTCCCAGGTTATCGCCTAGCCACTGGACAAGGCTTCCTACAACCTCAGGAACACTTGTCTGCATCAGTTATGCTTGCATTTAATTTAGGAGTTTTTTTTTAATAAAATCATAACAGCTAGAGACTTACTTTTTAAAATGAATGCTGGGGCTCTGGAGAACAATTCAGAGGTCTTTCAGTGTCCCCCCAGGTTCGCACCTTCCAAGGGTGGGATACCCTGCACTAAAATATTGCATGTTCCTGCTATTTTCAGGCAGGTAAGCTTTTGCTTATTTTGCAAACCAGCAACCGTGGGAAAATGTTGACATCAACCAGACTACTGCACTTTAAGAGCCTAATTTAGAAAACTTGCACTTTGTTTCTCTAGTGTCTTCAAATTATTGACATTGGAAACTATATAGGAGTTGTTCTGCAGTGTCTCAGTGTAAATGATTGATGCTTGGATTTGCTGAACTATTGTCCTGCAAGAGTACTGGGTACCTCTCTTTTATCGTTAATGTTGATTTCTAACTAGACACTGGAGTCAGATTAAAAAAAGGATCTGCCACAGCAGATCACCCAGAAACAGAGGTATACATTTAAAAAGAAAAGAAATGTTGTAAACTATTGAAAAATAAATTGCATAGATTGTTGCAGCTCCTAGGCAACTGTTTTACACACATATTTCATCTGCTATTGACTAAAATTATGTTTTTACTAAATCAGCTGTCATATCAAATGATAATCAGGCTATGTTTTTTCTTCTGTGAAACTGTGATTGCCAAAAACTTGGTTGCTTGGTTGCTCTCTATTTTTCATAATATTTTAAAGAAAAATAGCTAAAATCAGTTATCACATTTGCCCAAAAATTACTATTACATGTTACAGTTACATGGGTGTTTTGCAGACAATAAAATCCATGAGAAGTTGAACCCTCTAATGCCTGGAATAAATGCTTATATAGACTTGTATTAACAGTATAGTTTAGTTATTTTTTGTTTGGCTATGTATTTTTCATACCAGTTCAGGAGAGTATTTAACGATCCATTGAATCAATAGGACTTGAGTACATGGCTAAAATGTAACACATTTAGTGTAGCTATGAATGAGGGAAATGATTTCAAAATGCTTTACAAAGGTGTGTACATACAATGAGGCCAATTTTACAGAAGTAGTAATAGAGGCACAAATTAACAAAGTTAATTGGTAACCCAAGGACACAAGCAACATAGCAAATAAGTGTGAGGTCCAAGATCAGAATCCAGGGGTGAAATCTTGAAGAGGTCTGGTGAGAAATTTTCTTTCAAAAATTGCTTTCAATGGAAAATGGGATTTTGGATGAATGAAAGCTCTTTGTGCAAATGTCTGATTTCTTTAAAGGAAATAAATAATAATAATAATAATTAATTAATAATTAATAGGAAAGGTGTCAAAAACCAAAATATTTTGCCCGAATTGGAAAAAGTCTGGTTTTCAGCTGAAGAAAATTTGGGTTTTGGACAAAAATATCTGATTCTTGAGAAACAGTTGAAATTTTCTACGGGAAAGTGATATTTGTCATCCAGCTCTAATCTGAACACCATTGAAAGCAATGGGAAAACTTCCTTTAACTTCAGTGGGACAAGGATTTCCCCCTACTGTCTTGTTTGCTTGTTAGCAGCAAAAGGAGGAAGCCTTTCCTTGGATTCCAAAAACTCTGGTCTGGTATGAACATGGGACCTTGATTAGCTTGGCTTTGGCTAGCTTGGAGCACTTCAGTCAATGCTGGACTACAGAGGCATTCCTATGCAATATATCATTCTTGAAGTGTACATTAACAAGTATATCGGAAAAATAAAATTACCTTGCAGCCTTCAAATCTCAAAGTGCAAACCAATATTCTCCAAAACACACTGCTTCTCAAGGAGGCTAGTTGCTATACCAAATTTCACCTTTCAAACCTCAGCCAATTTTTTTAAGGTAGCCTTGTTCAAAACAATGTTGTAAGAATTTTTTCTATAATGACAAATTTTCCCCTCAATCTCATTTACAAACAAACAAACAAACCAAAAACAGAATGTTTTTTGGTCACACTTAAGAAAGAAGAAAAAAGTCATCTTCAGGCATATAATGATCCTGTAATCTTTCAAAAGGCTTCACAGAAACTTGTTTTTCTACCTTAACAACAGTGAACCTCACATCCTCTACTATTGTGTATTTCCTCATTCTCACAGACAGAGACCAAAATTCCATAACGTTCGTTGCAATGGACTTCATTGAACCGAGAGGTTTTTATTATTATAAGGGAAATGATTAATCCATCAATCTGTTCAGTTTGCCAAGGTTTAATTTGTGACAAAGTAGAGCTTTTCTGTTTCTAAATAAGAATTAGAGTGTCTTATTTTAGTGCTGAGTGAGAGACTCATGCCTTTGTTGAATTTCAGTACACTACTGAAGCCTTAGAGCTGTGAAATAGTTAGGTTCACTTCAAAAAATTGCTACTCAAGCTTTTAAAAGCAAGGAATTCTTCAAGTCGAGATTCTCCATCTAACCTCCAAATAAATTAAATAATGAAGGCCAACAGCTTATTTCTTCATTTGTAGAGAAATGCTTATTTTGTCCTTTTTTTTCTTTCTTAAAGACAGCTGTGGCTTCACATTGTTTCTTCTGCTTGGAAGCTACAGCAAGCAGCTGTTCTGCAGCTGATGACAAGTTTATACTTTGACGCAGAGTTCAAGAGAAAGAAACAGACAAGTTCTTTTACTCCTGATTGTTGGAAACAGCACAAGAAACTCCAGCCTGCATAACTTCTGCTCAGAAAGACGGCTTGCACAGCAGGTATTGCCTTCCTTAGTTCTAGTCTAGTGACTGGGGACTGAGAATGTACAATGTGAGGACAGCTGCATTAATCCCTGCCTGTCATATACCGTGTAGATCAATTCTAAATAACTTGAATGTACAGGGATGAGTTCAGATGAGAGAAACAATTTCCTTGACTTTGGTAAGATAGTGAGAAAATATAATTCCATATGCACCCTTCCCCCTACCCAACCCTCCTCATCTGTTCAATTCACCTGGGAAGAAAAGATACAACTCCTTTTACAAACAGCTTTCTCAGAATAACTGAAAAGTTCCTTGGAATACTGACACTAGAATAACAATGAGAGGACCATGGGCATAGATCTGGGCAAATAACTGATTTTTCAGCATGCTGGCATTTCTGAAAAAAAAACAAACAACATTGGTTTGGTCAGAACTGAATCCAAAGGTTACAAAACCCTTTGGTAATTTCAAAAGGTTGGCAAAATTTTTAGTTTGAGTCAAATTAAATGTATAATTTGACCCAAAGTGTACTGTTTTGTTTAGTTTCCAGACACTTTTTAACATTAAATCAAAGGAAATGAAGGGCTAGATTCACAAAATGACTGCAGCCGCAGCTACCTCTCTTCTAACGCAGTGCTTAGGGCACTCACTTGGGACACAGAAGACTCAGATTTCAATTCTGCCCTACTGACCAACTGAAGTGGAGAAAGGATTTGAGCTTGTGTTTCCTCATACGGCAAGAGAGCACTTTGGCCACTGGGGTTGTCTAGTGTGGGAATCTCTCCTACTGAAGTTGTTCCACTGTGTCTAAATAATTAAATAGCTATTTGCTTAAGCGCATGAGCTTGGGTCTCCTACCTCATAGGTAGTTTAGCTACTGGGCTACAGAGTCATTTTCACGCTTGCTGTTTGGCCCATGACAATTCACATATTTTATAAAGAAGTAAAGAAGCTTGAAAGCACCCTCTACTCTGTACCCCCAAGGTGACGGCAGTCTTCTGGCTTTGGGAGAAATTAAGTTCAAATCCCTTCTCCACCTCAGCCAGAAAGAGGAACTGAACCCACATTTGTAGTATCATAGCTAAGTGCTATAACCCCTGACCTAAACATTAGTAGAACTACAGTTGCTACTTTGTGAATGGTGCCTAAATTCTGAAATACATATACTGTATTTACTGAAACTATTTAGTGAATTTGTTTCAAATTTGCACATAGTTTTGGGTCAGCCAAAGCTGCATTTTTTGGTGAATAAACTATTAACCCAAAACATTTTCCTTAGGTCTCTTAGAGCAAAACAAATCATTTACTCTAAGAATTTAAACTTTTATTCTCTTTAGACCATAATTCCCTTACCATTTACTCATGATTTGAATTTACATTTCCCTCCCTACAGCTGATCATGAACAGTTCACTATGAGCATTCAATAGTTGAATTTAGACATGTGATTTGTGTTGGCCCAACTGGTATTGATCACCTAAAACATGGTATTATGACTGTTTACCAATTTGATTTGTGTAACTCCTAGATTCAAGAGGGAGATTTGAAGAAGTCACAGGAGCTTTCAATCTCTGGGAGAGACTTATTAGTTTAGGGAAAGGTCACAGATAAAGAAGATTAGGAATCTTAATATATTTTAAATCTTCTCCTTCTTAGGCCACACAACATTTTACCTAAGGCATCATTCCCAGAAAAATTAGGCTATTGCAAGGTGTATGACTATAGACTGGAATTTACCTTTTGTCTCATTATATACAAAATAATTGCAGGTGCATATACAGTGTTATTTATGAAGGATGTAGACAGGTTAGTTTCCTGTCTGGCTCATTTAATTGACTCAGTTGAAAGGTTTTGGGAGCCCTGTTCCTCTTCTGTGTTCAGCAAAGTCCCATTTCATATAAATATACCATGTACATTATTGTATTACTGGCCTGTAATTTTCTTCCATCGTCACGTTAACACAAATTAAGTGGGCATGAGTGGTGTTAATTGTAAATGCTGGTCAGATTCTTGCCTGGCTTATTTCACATCTTCTCTGTCAGGTCTCTGCTGAGGGATTTGAAGAACCTCATTCCCGTGATTTATAAAGCATACCACTTATGTTGCAAATAGTTGTGTCTATGAGCTTAAAATTAAATTTTCATGTGAATCAGATGTGGCTGTGTCAAGGTTCCTTCTCCACTCTGAACTCTAGGGTACAGATGTGGGGACCTGCATGAAAACCTCCTAAGCTTACTTTTACCAGCTTAGGTTAAAACTTCCCCAAGGTACAAACTATTTTACCATTTGCCCTTGGCCTTCCACTGCCACCACCAAATGTTTATCTGGGTTTATTTTTATTAGGAAAGCGTTGTTTGGAAACATCTTTCCCCCAAAATCCTCCCAACCCTTGCACCCCACTTCCTGGAGAAGGTTTGGTAAAAATCCTCACCAATTTGCATAGGTGACCACAGACCCAAACCCTTCAGTCTTAAGAACAATGAAAAAGCATTCTGTTTCTGAAAAGAAGGATTTTAATAGAAGTAAGAAGTAAAAAAGAATCACCTCTGTAAAATCAGGATGGTAAATACCTTACAGGGTAATTAGATTAAAAACATAGAGAATCCCTCTAGGCAAAACCTTAAGTTACAAAAAGACACACAGGCAGGAATATCCATTCTATTCAGCACAGCTTAATTTCTCTGCCATTTAAAGAAATCATAACCTAACGCATATCTAGCTACATTACTTACTAAGTTCTAAGACTCCATTCCTGTTCTGTCCCCGGCAAAAGCAGCACACAGACAGACAGAGACCCTTTGTTTTTCTCCCTCCTCCCAGCTTTTGAAAGTATCTTGTCTCCTCATTGGTCATTTTGGTTAGGTACCAGCGAGGTTATCCTAGCTTCTTAACCCTTTACAGGTGACAGGATTTTTCCTCTGGCCAGGAGGGATTTTAAAGGTGTTTACCCTTCCCTTTATATTTATGACAGGCTGATTTAATGTTTGCACAAAGCAAATGTAGCCCACTGGCCATTGTGTTATATGTGCCTCTCTGTACCCAAGTCACAGACTATGTGAGTTTATTACAGTCTGTACCTTCAGAGTGGGGCTCTTTAGCTGGAGCTGTCACAACCTATGCTTCCACTTTGGAGGGCTGTCGTTCAGTTCCTGCTGGTGGCTGTCACATGAGTAGAGGCTCACCCAGCATTAAATTCCTGTAATCTTCATATGTTTGGGATCTGTTTCTTCTGTCCAGCAGAAGCATGTAACCTCCTAGTCAGTAAGTGGCATATGTACTTGTCTGTACATCTGCCATATAGGATTTGAATCTGTTACAGTTCTTAGCTAGAGAGGCTGGTTTCTTAGGTCAATAAAAAAAATGCTTGCTTTCAATTCTAGAGTCTAGTTTAATTCTCTAAGATGGGGACCTCACCCACACATGAAAGAATGCATGCACAGATGCAATGAATTCATATTAAAAATCTTGTTGAGTGTCTGAGTACTGTGTGTGGCTAAGAATTTCTCTTAACCTCTGGTGCAGGCTTCCCGTATCACCAGAGTCTGGACATGTTGTTACTTCACAGATAGGTGGGGGGTAGTAAGTGGAGTTTTGGCTTCACCCTTCATCTTCGCCCAGGCACCACTAATGCAGCTGAGCCAGTACAGAGGGGATGGTAAGTTGTCCCAGCAAAAGGTTAAAGTAACTCTTTGCTGAGTGGGGCCTTTATTCTCTCTTTCTCTGACTGACTGTTCCTTTCTGTGTACTTCCCATATTATCCTTCTGCTGTGGATGTGCTGGTGCATTGGGAGAGCAGCATATATTAAAGCTGACAAGTTATCCTGACCTAAACCCCTTCTCAGAATATTCATTGATAGGTGAGAATACATTGCAATGCTCTATTCTCTGGCCATACTGGTTTCTTTGTAACACCCATTTTCTCAGTGCAGCCTATGCTGCATTTCACAGAGGGGTATCATGACAGCACTGTTGTTTCCATATAAGATCCTTCCATGCAACGTGGTATGCACCTTTTCATTCCCTTATGCAGATGATCGGATTCTGATAGATATACAGATGTGCGTGTGCACATTAAATGTCCAGATGCTCAGCTTGTTGATTGGTTCATTGTACTCCACCATTTTATAGCAGCGGAGGATCTATCCCATTTCATTTATTTATATGAGTCTATATCTCCTACCTAAACCTACATAATTTATAAAAGTTTTTAAAGAGGTGCAGACACAGGAAAATGTTTAAAATCAATAAACTCAAAGTAACTGAGGCAAAATTGGTCCTTAACTTGTTGTATACTATTTTTAACTGAAATGTTTAAAATAATCTTGTATTTAAAATTTCCTTTTTGGCATAATTGTTTCAGCTCATCTGTGGGGAAGTTTCTTTTCCTTCCCCCCCCATAATGTTCCTTTTCATAACTAATATAAGCATGTACATTCATGACCTGTAGCTAGAGAGATTTTTTTTTTGTTTAATCCTTTAAAAACAATGTTTGAACATTTCAAACCACATTGCTACAGCCTGAAACAGAACTTATTTTTGTACTTCTCAGGTTCCAACGATGAAAAATTGTGAGAGTCCCTGTTACACTAAAAACCTGGGGAAAGCTAAAAATATTAGTCAAAAGCAATGAGAATGGCTAGAACTTTACCTTCCAAATTACAAAGGAGGCTGTACATCACACAAGCTACATTAAAATAAAAAATAAAATAAAATAAAACCCAGCTTGGTTTAGCAGGTGTTGTAAATGCCTGGTTGGATTATTTGTAACCACTTCCCTTACTTGCTCCTTAGTCAGGGCTAAACATATAAAAGAAAGGTGTTCCAGCTCTACAAAGCTACCTTCATGTATCTTTTTAGCTGCTGGTTAAGGCATTTGGATTACAGTAAATCAAAGTTAGTTCAAAGCCTTTCCTTATCCATTAGTTAGAGTACTGTTTGTGACTGAGTTTGCTGTGAGTGAGCTTTATTTTTAGCAATGAAGTTACAAAAATCAGGCTTTATTGAATCTGAAAACATT